GTTAAAAATTACAGACCCAGGTCCCCACCCCTAAACAACTATAGCAGAAAGTGGTCCCTGGCATTGTTCTTTTTCATAAAGGTCTCTTAGGTGATTCATATGCAAGGTTAGATCACTGAAAATTAATGAAATAAATCTCAGTTCATGTTGTGATTTGAGGCATATAGATTATTGCTTCGATGCCACTTGTTTTAAAAACCACCAGTGTACGTGGTTGCCTGTAATTTGAAATATAAACATTTCCAGAATGGTTGTTAAGCCCCTTTCCCTTCTGTTACCAAACTATTTTTTTCAGGTCTCAGCTCTACACTGTTTCAAGCTTGTTGAACTCAAAGCATTCAAACATTCCCTGCACTTTTATTCCATCACGTTTTTAGTTTCTTGCTTAGTGAGACATGAGCCCAATGCTATACTTGGCAAATGCTACTTATTCTGTAAATGCCAGCTTACAAGGCCTTGCTGAGACACCGGGCTACTCATAATTATTTTACCTAATGCTGATTTATATAGATTAAGTCATGGGTGTATTTTCCTGAAGAGACAAAGCCATATTATCTCAAAGTAAGTGTACAGTTAATACCTCCTTTCAAATTATAGTGAGTCAAGTACATATATATCTTATGCTGCTTAGTAACTCCAACATTAATAGTTGCTTGGGTGTAGAATCCCAAAAGGAGGCATTTGATTTAGGTTTATGAATATTTCACATAGAAATCTGTTGTTCTGAACAATCACAAATTGCAATACCTTATTCCAACCTCTCAAATCATTTTAAAGATGACCCGATGTAGGATATTTTTCTGCCTAAAATGAGGTTTTTCAGACTTTAAACAAATTAGTTATTGAAAATATGAAGGCGTCCATATTCTTCTGAGGTGTTGACTTTCCAAATTTAGTTACAGTATGTGTTTCAAATGGAAAATAATGGATATCATTTCCTTTTTCTTCACCTCTTTCAGCTTTGATGCCACAAGAAGCCAGCTTGCTAGCTCCCTGATACCTGATAGTTGTCTGACTAAAAAGATTCTGCGATGAGAATCAGCATTTTCTCCGAGACAGGAGTCGTAAATTCCCCTCTTCCGGAAGACACAAATATCCTTTAGAAGGGTCCAGAGCATTTTTGGCCTAGCTGCCTCTGTGATATAAGCACCTATTAGAGCCATCAGAAGCAAGGCTGAGGGAAGAGGTCCATCCTTCCGCAACAGAAGAAACGAACACACCCTAGCATAGGCCAACAACTTGAACATTGGGAAGTGTACAGGCCAAGAAGGAACGCAAATAACATTTCAAATGAACATTTGATTTTTTAAAAAAGCCTATCCTGTGATTTCTTTCTTCAGTTTCCCCACTGCTGGAATTTTGTGAAATATACAGATAATGGGGGAACATTTTTGTTAATATTCTGAAACTTAGATATTAGGAAGTTGATTGGTTTCCTCGGGTGGTTGTTGTGAGTCACAATTATACAGGTTGTTGTATAATTTACATTTGGACATTCTAATGATAGTTTCAGGATATTAGAATAGGAAAAAAATCCTGTAATTTCGAAAATACTTAATTTTTAGGCAAGAACTAATAGCATCCAGCTAACTCAGACCTAAAGGGTCTGTTTTTTTTTCTCGTCAAGACTATTGAGCAAGACCCTAGAATTTCCATCAGACTGCAATACCCCTGCTGGGTGCGGAACGCAGGCCCACCACTGGAGGGCGCCTGGACGCTTCCAAACAGCTCCGCGGTGCTGGAAATCCCGAGCCCGAGGACTGGAAAGCCGAGGAAAAAGGGAGATTTCATTTTATTAAGCTAATAAGTAAAAGGAAGAATTGGTAGGTTTGGGAGAAAAGCTAAGCTGCTTTCTTTCTTGGGGTCAGGCCTTCCAACCGAAGCAGCAAACTCACTAGGGGGCAAAAGAGAAAAATACCGCGCCTCCCGAGGCTGCGAAGCCCGGCGAGAGCGGGTCTCTCGGGGCTGTGTCCCCGCAGCGCTCGGGGCGTCCGGACACAGGGGACGCGTGGTCCCCAGGGCCCACGACCGCCCGGCTGCTAGGCGACCGCGCTAGGGTGGCGAGAGCACCGACGCGCTGCAACCTGTCCTCGAAGTCCGGGAACGCGAGGCTTTTCCCAGTAATAAAGGAACTCCTTTCCCTCCCACCTCTACCTCACCTCCCCTGCTCTCGCAACGGGTCAGTTCTAGGCATTTCTTTGGGGCAATGGTCAGCGACTCCTGGAGGAGCGCATTTCTGATGGGCCCGCTCGCCGCATTTCCTTTCCCTGCCTGTAGCAGGTTCGCTCGGAATTGGAAGCACTTCGGACTGAGACTTCCCCCGATTAAAAAAAAAAAAAAAGGTGCCTTCTAGGCAACACTTTAAAGCAGTCTCGCTTCCTACTCAAGAACCTTTCAATCCCGGGCAGGAAGCGAGGAGTTGAAAGGCGCAGGAGAAATGCTCAGATCTCCTGAGAGCCCCGCGCAGGGAGAGGCGTGAGGTGCAGAACTGTGCAGAGACTGGCGAGAGCGCGCCGGTTCAGGTCAGTCCCAAACCCGCACTGAGCCTGCGAGTCACCGGAGGGGCTCTCCGTCTGCGGAGTGGGAAGCCGCCCCTGTGGAATCAGGGGAGCCTACTCTCAAGTAAAAAGATGTCAACTCATTCCCGAGCCCAGACGCAATTCAGCACCCAAAGGGTTACACGTGGCTGCCGGGCGCGGGCGGAGGAGAGCACGCCTAGGCACTCCCAGTAATTCAATTAGTCAGGTTTCAGGAAGGTGGGCCGCTGGTGGGGGGGTAGGACGAGTGGGGAGGGAGGAGATTAGGAAAACGCCTCTTTCTCGTGGAGCAAACCAATCCGGTTGGAGTAAAGAGGAAAAAATGCCGATCTGTAAGCAAACAGCAGGCCTTCCCCCGACTGGCTGCTCCAGCCAGCCCCCACCTTCCCAAGTAAACTGCTACGACGGGGAGAAAAAAAGAAAAAGAAGCCCACATGACCCTGGCCGCGGCAGCGC